TATAAAAACAGATAAGTTTGATAAATATTTAAAAATTTGAACAATGGCTTTGTGACTAAAATATTCTAGTGAGGGTTGATTCAAGAACTACCTCATTTATCCAATTTTACAAACTGTTCCTTTCCCTGTATGCTTATGAGTCAGGTATCATGTTAGGTGCTGGGGATAAAAAAAGGTATTCTCCTGTCCTCAAAGAGCCTATAGCCTAGGGGAAGAGACACAGACACATAACAAACTTACCTCAAAGAGTCAAAAATTACAATGATTGAAACAAGACTTGGTGTAGATGCATCAAGGAGGGACACAGCTTGGAAGTTCAGCTTGGGAATACAAGAAATGCTTTCTGGTAGAAATGATTTCTGAGTTGAATATTAATGAAAGGATAGATGTTTGACAGGTGAAGCTACATATTTAACATCTAGTAAGTTGCAGCAGTAGGATCCTTGTGAGTTATTGAGTTTATACAAACTGTTTTAGGTACATCTTTTGGCTAGTGAGTTTAGCTGAGTCACTGAAATATTAGAAGGCAAAGCTGTGATGGATAGTTCAACCATATCTTTAGTACCATCCTAAGCAGAACTTCTGATTCTTTTCTCCATTCTTTTTAGGCCCCTATACCCAGGCTGAAGCATAGTGTTCTCCAGTTGCCCAAGGTGACTTTCAAGGAGGTACCACTTGGTCTTTAAGGTAAGGGTTTTCTTCCTGTCTTAGGCTACAGCAATGTTTAAACATTTGTACTTGTAACTATTTTATTAGATGATTCGGATTTGGTAGTGTATAAACATAAAGGAACTTTATTTTTTCTCATGATGTCTGTTTTAAACACATTCTGATATTCTATTTGTTTCCATCAATGAATATCTTGAGCCAATATGATAGCTTTTATGATTACTTTTAGTAGTAACACATGATCTCCTTATCCAGATATTGGAAAGTACATTACAGTCTAAAACCAAAATTTTAATTTTTTTAGTCCAAATTAAAGCTTACTCCTCCAAACTAGCTCTAATTCAGGCTTGATCTGCTTTCTTTCCCTCTGACCTTTCACTCCTCCTTTCCTACATTAATTTGCTGCCTCTTGTTACTCTAGGTTTGAGGTGGGGGAGAAATAAAGACAGAAAGGCTGTTCCTTAACTGGTATAGGTGTTATCAGGTATTGTTATCTTACAGGTTTACAAAAGGCTCAATGTTGATTTTTTTCTCTTGTGAAATATATATAAATATAAATATAAGTAAATAAATAAATGCATGTGTATATTTTCCAGTGGGCTCTCCAAACTTCAGTTCCCTGTTGTGGGAAATGCTGTACTGGCTGGCTACTTATGGCTTCTTTTATCCCTAGATTCTGGTGACCCACTCCATATAGACTCACTTTTGGGACTACCTTACTTCTTCAAGTAGTTTTGGGTGGGCTCCCTTTCAAAATGGTCCAAGTTGGTTACCTTTCATGGAGCCTAAGTAGGTCAAATGTGGATATTCTATATTTGCTCCATTATGGGTATAAATTTAGTTTGCTCCTGCCATAGCCTATCTCTTCATTCTCTGCTCTCAGAACCAGCTCTTTCAGAGTCTCTACATTTTTCCAGGTATGAATAAGGGGCAGTGCAGGTGTCCCTCAAACTCCAGGGAACAAGGTCAAACCCTCTGAGTAGTTCTCCTGATGTACCCCTCACTTCACTTAGGGGGACTGCACACTAGCAACACTTAGCAAAGGTGTTCTTGCTCATGGCTTCAGTCTAATTTCCAGCCTCCCCTTGCACACTGTTGAAGAGGATGATGAACTAGAATTGTGAAACTGGATTCACAGTCTCTTAGTGTATTTAATAATGATGTGTTGCCAGAAATCCAGGACAGCAGGTATATTGTTATGTATCTTTTTAAAGAAGTGATAGACAATCACATGAGCAAATAATCAATTTGACCATACCTCCTAACAATGTTGTGTGGACAGAGATTGCACACTGAAAAAGCCCATACCTCCCTGGAAGTAGATACTAAGATTTTTAAAAGTTATTTTTACCATGCATTGGGAGCCAATACCTTCCCATGAAACACATTTCTGAAACTAGAAGCTCATCAAAATATGGTTAGATACATGATGAGTTTTGCTTTGCACAAAAGAACTGTGATAGCTATGAATAAAGTCAAGTCAGTTTGTATTGAAAGAAGAGGATTATTTTTCTACTTGCAGAAAGAGAGATACAAATATTGGGTTATTCAAAACTGTTCACAAACTTTGGATAGTTTGCATTCCACGAAAGACATGATGGAGGGCATATTTCATGTCCTTATTGCGCAGGCTATAAATAAAGGGGTTTAAGACTGGCGTTACCACAGAATATATCAGTGTGATGATTTTATGCATAGCAACTGAGTTGACAGATGTGGGACTCACATACATCACCATTATGGTTCCATAGAACAGAGACACCACAACCAAGTGGGATCCACAGGTAGAGAAGGCCTTTTGCCGTCCAGCTGAAGAAGACACCTGAAGCACAGTTCTGAGCACCAGGGTATAGGACCCAAGGATGTACAAAATGGTGAGAATGATGATAAGAGAGCTCACAGAATAGAATACATGTTCTATGATGTGTGTGGGAGCACAGGACAATGACATAAGTGGGTCGACATCACATAGAAAGTGATCAATGATGTTGGGACCACAGAAGGGTAGTTGAGACATAAGGAAAATGGGAATTGAATATCCAAGGAAACCAATGAGCCAACAAACAGATACCAAAATGCCACAGAACTGACCTGTCATGATGGAAGGATAGTGCAGTGGGTGGCAGATGGCTAGGTACCGATCATAAGCCACGACACAGAGGAAGAAACATTCCGTTGTGCCCAGGGAAAAGAAGAAGTAGAACTGAGTAAAGCAGCCAAAGAAGGATATGGTCTTAGTTTTGGAAAGAAAGTTGTCCAGTATGTTGGGAACTGTGCAGGTCACATACCAGATCTCTAGGAAGGAGAAGTTGGCCAGGAGTATGTACATAGGGGTATGGAGTCGGTGATCCCAACTCACTGCACAGATGATGGCCACATTCCCAGTCACAGTCAAGATGTAGACCAACAAAATCACTGAGAAAAGCATGATCTGAATTTTCCAGGGACCAGGGAAGCCCAACAAGATAAACTGCGTAACCGTAGATACCCCTGACTTATTCATGGACTCTAGACTGTGGAAAAAGAGAGAAAGGATTGACAGATAATGACAATTTACTTTGCTGCTGAGGCATCTTGAGGTTTTTCTTGGAACAGGGAGTTTGACTCGGCAGGCAAGTGTATTGGATATTCTAA